ACTGGGTGTTATATGCAAACAATGAATCATGGAACACTACATCAAAAACTAATGATGTACTGTATGGTGACTAACATAACATAATAAAATTAAAATTTATTCTTTAAAAAAAAGAAAATTGTTACAGGAAAATATTTAATGATGTGGGGAAATGTTTCCGATATATTTTATATAGAAGAACCAAATTATAAAACAAACGTGCTGTATGAATCCAATAGTAAATAAATATAAATGCGAATATAAATTAAATTATAAATAAAATATAATAAAAGGAATCAACTTGAAAATATAATATATCCAAACATACACATTCAACACCAAAATACGAATGACCAATGAAAGGGTCACATTCATTTTTGTATCCTTTTTTGTATTTTGTCATGTTTCCTTATTTCTGAAACTGTACAAGATCAAATAAATATCCTTTTAAATAGAGAAAAACGGACCCACCGAGGTCAGCCCAGGCAGCTGTGCCCCACGTCTTCCATGGAGGCCCCAGTTGTCCTGTTACACTTCCTGTGCATCTGTACCTTGCCAAAGGCTCATACTGTCCAGCTCTCTCCCCAGCTACCTCCAAACCCTAGAGCGTGCCCTGGAGGCTGGAGATGTGGTGTTGATCGAAAACCTAGAAGAGTCCGTTGATCCTGTTCTGGGACCCCTGCTTGGGAGAGAGGTCATCAAGAAAGGACGGTAAGACTCCGCCATGTCGCTGATCTTTCCTGAGGAGCAGGCTCCCAGAACCATGAGCAGATCTGCTCTTCCCTGAACATCCTCTCCTCAACGCCTGTCACGGGCTTCTTGCAGCACGCACACCTTTCTCGCCTCCACAAGGGGAATACTTAGCTGCCCTTGACTTGTAGAGAAAGTTTCCTGCAATAACTTTGCTCCCATCAGTCACGTCCTCCTTGACTTCCTCCCACATGGGAGCAGTGCACTCTTTTGGAGGAATTTTAGAAAGGAAGTGGTCAAAATGCAGGCTGCCTTGTAAGCATGAGCATTTTATCCAAGCTAGACTCCTGGGTTCTGAGAACTCAGTGCTCTGGCCCTTTGATGAACCCCTGTTGCTTTGGGGGCTGGCAAGTGATGAAGGCTTAGCAAGTGTCTGGCAGAAGGAAGAGGATGAGAGAGGATGAAGGACAATAAGCACATAGGAGAGAGAGCATTATCATGGAGGGTTGCTTTACCCACTGCCCAGGCCATAAATTGCCTTTCCATGTCCTTAGGATGTGCTCATTTGCTGAATTAACCATTTCCACCCATAGTTCTCCATCAGCCATGGAAAAAAGGACGCCCTATTTTTGCGAGCCTATAAAGCACCTTTGTGCAAACTGATGGTGTCCTTTTCTGCAAACACTTTACTGCCATCTGCTGGGAAAGTTTCATAATGTACCAACCTACTTGGACTACAGTGTGAATGGCTCTCCCAACAGCCATGCACGTCAAATCAAACATGGTGGCCATGCGAGAAAGTCTCTCACCCTCCACCCCCATGCCCCACATTGGGGCAAACAAGGATCTCAGGGCTCAATCTAGACATGCTTGGGAGGAATCTGAATGTGGCAGTATTGCTTGCTATGATCTCACAAAAAAACATCTAGAATTCTGTCCCTGAACCGATTCTCATGGGAAGGCACCCCACCTTCACATGACCCTTTGTGTTCCAGATTCATTAAAATTGGAGACAAAGAGTGTGAATACAATCCCAGGTTCCGGCTCATCCTTCACACCAAGCTAGCCAATCCTCACTACCAGCCCGAACTGCAGGCTCAGGCCACCCTGATCAACTTCACGGTGACCAGGGATGGCCTGGAAGACCAGCTGCTGGCTGCTGTGGTCAGCATGGAGAGGCCGGACCTGGAGCAGCTGAAGGTACATGGAGGATCCACCAAGGAAGGGAGGATGAAAATGCTTGGCCACTAGATCCTGCTCTCCGTTCTGGGTGAAGTGTGGGGGCTGCTTTTCCTGGAGCGGAGCAGCATGGCTCTTAGCTAGACTTTGGGGGGTGGTGAGGGTTGGCCATCACCATTTAGCTGCCTGAATGTCCAGTTGGGAAACAGAGACTAGAGCAAGATCAAGAACAGAGAGGCCGAAGACAGCTGGGAGACCAGACACTCTTGTCACCAAGAGCAGAGCCTGGCCCAGGTTTATGAACGTGCTTGGGCCCACACATGAGTCCAGAAGTAACCACCATGTGAGGAGAGTGTCTTAGTCAACTTAGGCTGCTATAACAAAATACCACGGACTGGGGGACCATGTTCCTGCCCTCACGGAGCTTATAGTCTAGTGGAGGAACACAGAAAATAAATAGCGTAGACAAACAATGTCATTTGAGGTAATGACAAGACTTTCCAAGAAAATAAAGTATCGTGATATTAAAAAGCCAGGGGGCTAATTTAAAACCAGGAAGGTGGGGCACCTGGGTGGCTCAGTCAGTGAAGCATCTGCCTTCAGCTCAGGTCATGATTCCGGGGTCCTGGGATCAAATCCCGCATTGGGCTCCTTGCTCAGTGGGGACTCTGCTGCTCCCTATCCCTCTGCCTTCCCCCCTGCTTGTGTTCTCTTTCTGTCAAATATTTTAAAAAAGAAGAAGAAGCAGAAGCTAAATTAGCCCAAAGTCACATGACTAATAAATGGTGCATTTGGGATTCAGTTCATCTGCTTGTCTGTTCTCATGCTATCCTGTCTCCCGCTTCATCCGTCTGAAGGAAGGAACTTGACCCCCGTAGCATTTATTTATTCAGGATGCTCAGGGCTTCCACATCTGACTCCACCTTACTTGACGTTTGCAGTCAGATCTCACGAAGCAGCAGAATGGGTTCAAAATCACCCTGAAGACCTTAGAAGACAACCTGCTATCTCGCCTCTCCTCAGCATCTGGGAACTTCCTGGGGGACACGGCCTTAGTGGAGAACCTGGAGACCACCAAGCAGACAGCCGCCGAAGTTGAGAAGAAGGTAAAACTGCCCTGTCAGCCAAGGTTGGGCGGCAAGGCCCTCCTCCCAGCCCCTGAGTCCTGAGTTTTTGGAAAAAAAACAAAAACAAAAAAACACGAAGTCAGAATTCCCAGGTACCTTTTCCATGTTCCAGAATTCCTTCTAGAAAGTCCAGCGAGGCGGGATTCCTGAGTCGACCAGCTCATACCCTGTGTTAGGGAGTTCCTGCCTTCTGGGAGGTGCATTTGACAACTCAACTCTACAGACGTCTGATGAGCATTAAGTCTGTGCCCAGCCTCGTCTTCCACGCGGGGGATGGTAGCTCAGACTTCATCCTTAGCCAGCGTGTGCGGTTGCCCCGAAGTTAAGGAGTCCCACTGCTGTGAGCATTGGCTGGTTCGGCATGATTGCACCCTGAGAAAACCCACCAGCCTGCAAAAATCTCACAAGTCCGATTGCCATGAGGGAATTTCAGTGACTTCTCAGGAAGCTCAGCTCTCAAAAACGGTTGTCATCCTGGGAGATGATGCAGTATGTAGCTTCCTTCCTTTATCCCACAATGTTTGGAAGGCTTTTATTTCCCCTGTGGGGGACTGGAAGACAGGACTTGGGGGTGTCCGAGCCTCTCACCCTTTGTGGGCAGGCTGTTGTGTATGCAGGCTTAACAACATTCCCAGCCCTGCTCCTGGATTAGAGGAACAATTAAGACCCTGGTTCTGAGCAGGATACCGCTCAGCACTGTAACAGCACACCTTGGAGGGAATACACTCTTTGTCAGATTATTGGGACTTCTCCAAATATCAAAGCCTCTGTTCCGGGTAGGGACAGGGCAGGGAAAATGAAAAGTAATGATGGGGGCAGGTAGACCAGTTCATGCCCACTCTGGGATAACAGACAATTGAGGTTGGAGGGAGAGACATTAAGAGCAGGGATGTCCAGCCTCGCATCGTCTCCATGGCCACTACATGACCACAAGGTTTTACTGCTGGTTCTCTGTGGCCTCCATATCTCTAGATAGGACGGTGCAGAGTTTGTACAATAATTATGTAGAAGTTCCACTGTCTTGGGCAAGAGAGATGGGGGGGTGGACAGAACCCAACTCACATATGGTTATATATGGATAAAAGTTTTAGGGGCACCTGGGTGGCTCAGTCAGTTAAGCGTCTGCCTTGGGCTCAGGTCATGATCCCGGGGTCTTGTGATCGAGTTCCGCATTGGGCTCCCTGCTCAGCAGGAAGCCTGCTTCTCCCTCTGCCTCTACTGTTCCCCCTGCTTGTGCTCGCTCTCTCTCTCTCTCCCCCTCTGTCAAATAAATAAATGAAATCTTAAAAAAAGTTTTGGTCAAGGAAATGTCTCAGGTTCTGGGAATAAACACCCAGATAAGTAAAGGTGCCGATAGCTGAAAGATGGGAGCAGAAATGGATTTAGGGATGAGAAGAAATTATTATTTTAGTTTGTGTTGTGTTGAGTTTGGAGTGCCTCTGGGCCATTCACATAGATCTGTCCCATGGGTTTCTGGATATCTGATCTTGGCTGGTGATAAAGTGCTGACAGTCATCAACAAGTAGTTGGTCATTGAAACCAGGAGTGGATGAAGTCACTGGGGAGATGTGTGCACAGTGATGAGACTGGGAGTAGAGCATGGAAGAAGACTAATACGTATTAAGAGAAATACAGAAGATGTAAACTGTGGAATAGAGCAGAGAGATGAGAGGAAAAGCAGGGAAAATAAGGGATTGTGAGAGAAAACATGTCAAGAAGGCATGCCAGTGGTGTTGAATGATGCTGAGGACTCAAATGAGATATGGCTGAGATGTGGCCACTGAACTTTGCAAAAAGGAGTTATTTTTTGCAAAAAGGAGTTATCAGTGATCTTGGGGAGGATGATTTCCATGAAAGCAGAAGCCAGACTACATTAGAATGAGAGCAAATGGGAGCTGAGAAAGGGAAAGTGAGTATAAATAACCCTTTAAAGAAGCCAAACTGTGAAATGGGAGAGAGAGAAAGGATTGTAACTTAAGAAGGACATGGATCCCCTGAGATGGGAGAGACTGAGCGTACCAAGATCCTCACCAGGAGTTGGGAGGATGCATGGATTATAAAAGAAGAGCAGTAGTCAAGAAGAGAAGGTGAATTTACAGAAAAAAGAAGAAATGGTTAATACGGTGGGGTACATAAGAAAGGGGAAATGCCATTCAGGTCCACAGATGGTGAGCTTCTCTTTAGAAAGATGGAGAGGGGCACTTGGGTGGCTCAGTCAGTTAAGCATCTGTCTTTGGCTCAGGTTATGATATCCGGGTCCTGGGATGGAGTCCCGCATCAGGCTCCCTGCTCAGCAGGGAGTATGCTTCTCCCTCTGCCTGCCCTGCCCCTCCCCCCTCCTCGTGCACTCTCTCCCTCTCTCTCTTAAATAAATAAAATCTTTAAAAAAGTAAATAGAAAGTTGGAGAGCTAGCTCCAATGTGATAGGGGCTGGGGGCAAACAGGAGTCTAGAAATGAGATCCATGGTCCATGGATCCATGTAGGCAACTGAGCTAGGGAGACAGAGACTTAAAGGAATCAGAGGAGAGGCAGAAATGAAGGAGATTCCTTCCTGTTGGTCTTTATATAAACGGGGAGAGCATGAGTCATGTTCACCTGCTGGGAGTAAAGGAGTGGTGGTGAGGTAGGTAGCTTGGGGAGCAGAGTGAAGGTTTGCAATTGCTAAAATAGGAACGAAAGGTGACTCAGGAAACACAGTTAATGGATGGCATTAAGAACCCAGGTGAGCTTGAAACATATGGATCTCAAAACGCCATTCTGAATAATTGTATGATTTTTGTTCAGCCCCTTCCAAGAATCTATGTCTTCAATTACTGAATTTAACCGATTTACATTTATTAACATTATTGATAGAGTGAATTTCTTCCTACCATCTTAATTTGTGTTTTCTAGCCACCATGCTTAGTTTTTCCTCCTTTCATTTTCTTTGTTCTCCCCTTTATCCTTTGCTGATTTTGAAGTTATTTACTTTGTTTTTTTTATTATGTTATGTTAATCACCATACATTACATCATTAGATTTTGATGTAGTGTTTCACAATTCATTATTTGCGTATAACACCCAGTGCTCCATGCAGAACATGCCCTCTTTAATACCCATCACCAGACTAACCCATCCTCCCACCCTCCTCCCCTCTAGAACCCTCAGTTTGTTTTTCAGAGTCCATCATCTCTCATGATTCATCTCCCCCTCCGATTTCCCCCCCTTCATTCTTCCCCTCCTGCTATCATCATCTTCTTCTTCTTCTTCTTCTTCTTCCTTCTTCCTTCTTCCTCCTTCCTTCTTTCTTCTTCTTCTTCTTCTTTTACATATAATGTATTATTTGTTTCAGAGGTACAGATCTGTGATTCAACAGTCTTGCACAATTGTTTTATTTTATTGATGAATCTTATTTCATTTATATATGAAATTATATTTCATTTTATATGTGACTTAACAATATCTGTATTGACTTAACAAAGTCTAATATAAAGTGATATATCTAGCCTCTTCCAAACAATATAAAGACTTTAGAATACTTTGATCATCCTTTTCCATCTTCTGTTACTGTTTTATATTTTAGTTCTACCTACTATTCCCAAGGTGGCCATTTTTTATGGCCTTTGTTATTTAGATTAACCATATATTTAAGAAATTCTCAGACCTCGTTTCTTCCTTTTGGATTCAATCATTTTCTAATTGAAGCAAATAATTATTTCTTCAAGGGCCTGTGGATAGTAAATTCTCTTTGATGATGATGAGCTCTGGTCTTTCATCGATTTTGGAAAATTCTCAACTATTATAGCTCCAACTGTTGCTTCTCTCTATTCTCTACTTATCTCTGTTAGATGTATTTTGAATCTTCTCATTCTGTCTGCCAGCTCTCACAACCTCTTATATATTTTTCATCTTTTTTTTCTCTCTGAGCTGCTTTTGTTGCAGTTTCCTCAGATCTGTCTTCTAGTTCATGTATTCTCTTTCCAATGCTAGTCCATTATTTAACCTGTGCACTGGTTTTTCATTTAAATAATTGAATTCTTATCTTTAGAAGTCCTAGTTAGTTGTATGTTTTTTTTCAGGCAATACGTCTTCCTACTTACAATGTCCTGATTTTATGCTTTCTTTCATCTCTACTGCTCTTAAACAGAAATAGTTAATAGTTACAGATTGTTCAGCGATCTTCAGCTCTTGGAATACTAATCCTTCTGGGATTTTGGGGGAGAGGGCGGAGGAAGGGTTTCTAATTGTCCCCTTTGTTAACACTTCTTCTGAAGTTTGTAATTGTTTACTGCAAGCTCATCTTCAAATGGGGTCATTGTTTTTTTTCCTTGGAGACTCTCATAAATTATCATTGGTTTCACTCTTCTAGAACATAAGGCAGGTCATACTGAGGTCTATATTTAGTGTCATGTTCTTTCAGAATCCCTCTCTGATGCTAAGGTCTCTTTTCTCATTTTTCCCTGTGATAAGAAATTTTCTGAAAATAAATGATTCCATTGAAAGAGATCCTTTTGCAACATGGGTGGATCTAGGGACTTTAATGCTAAGTGAAATAGTCAGATGAAGACAAATACTATATGATCTCACTCATGTGGAGTTTAAGAAACAAACGAAGAAAAAAGGAGACCAAAAAACAGACTCTTAACTCTAGAGAACACACTGATGGTCACCAGAGGGGAGGTGGGTAGGAGGATGGGTGAAACAGTTGATGGGGATTAAGAGTACGCTTCTCATGATGAGCACTGGGTGATGTATAGAGTTGTGGAATCACTATATTGTAACCTGGAACTAATATGCCCTGAATGTTACTACGCTGGAATTACATTTTTGTTAAAAAAAGAAAGAAAGAAAGAAAGAGATCCTCTTTGTGAATTTACACATTAACTCTCCCATAAAAATTAAAGCAGAAAATTCTATTATGCTGTTTTCTCTGGATTTTTTTTTTAATTTTATTATGTTATATTAGTCACCATACAATATATCATTGGTTTTTGATGTG